CATGTACTACAAGAAGAGACGTGTCCTTTTTTATATATTTCATCCACGGCTCAACATGTTCTCCTATAAAAACGAACCATTAATACTGATTTATTTTCCCGGAAAATGCATTATTTCATATATTAGCCCATGGGCTTATGGCTACGTTGTCGTCAGCATCGTCGTGTGTCCGTTTGTGGATTGAACTTGGCCAGGGATAGCAAAAGGGAGCGCAGAATGTTTTTACATCAGGAAGGACTGGTAAACCGTAGACATTTTTTCCGCGTACACCAAACAATCAGAAAGAAAAACACGTTTTGAAATTTAGGGTCCATGGCTTCTTTTCTTTCTTCATTTCATACTATGTTACATGTCTTTAGCTTCCAATTTCTTACGAACTTCGATGTGTGCTTTGAGATTTTCAAACTTTGGCGAGCAGAAACAAGCCAGTCGAGACACTGCACTCAATGCCTGGTGGGACCGCTTAAACCAGGGAGCACGCACGCCAGCTAAGCCAGCAATAACAAGCCCAGGCGCGTACGCAGGGGGGGGGGGGGGGGGGCGTTGCCCGGAAACCTCGAAATGTTCCATACGAGCAACGTCTTTGGGCATTTTTTGGTAGGGCGCACGATCGATCTGGCAAGAATGCAACACGTCAACAGATCGCGTAACTCTGTCAAATCTCGCTCAAATCTCGCTCAAATCCAATGATCCAAATATCCAGGTCAAATAGAAAACTCTCAGCTGTCGGTTGAAACAATTTGCGACGCGCTGCGAGCAATTTCTCTTGAGATAAATCATTCGTAAGTAAGTAGAGCCGCGATCTCGGCAATTTCAAAAGCGCGCAGTGCGACTTGAGTATCGAGAATTTGAGACTTTCTGTCACGCTGACTTGCTCAAATTTGCAGGGGCTTCACTTGTGATATTGTCAAGAGTACACAGCAAAAAATCGAAACTCTGCTATCAAGAAAAACGAAATCGCTGGAGCAGGACGCGTTTACGTTTGGGCCTTTGGGGCATTTTTCGCACCGTCGCTGCACTCTACCGATAGCGCTGGATATGTACATGACTTTACTGTGTCCTGGCTATCATGGTCGACCTCATTCTCTCCCGGGTACCTTTTCACTTCCAGGAAGCCCAAAATAATGAAGATTGAGTGAGTAGAACTGAAGTTATGATCCAAAGAACACGAAAAAATGCATAATTTTGAAAATTTCCTCGGGCTCTTTAGTTATTACGGCCCTCAGGCTAACCTGTCGGGCACTAACAAGCCCTCCCTGCCATGCACTAACTATTTTAGAACGAGGTTACATGCATTTGTATCTCACTTGCATTATGCTTGTGTACCCTGATATATTGGGTAGTTTTGTGGTTTGTGTGAAGAGAGAATTGGTGTGGTATGAATCGTATGATAGAGTATTTTCTTCTGGTAACTCGGCACCACTGAGGACTAATAAAAGTGAGAATAGAAGCAAATGGAATGCTGGGCTCTTATTGCGACCTTCATTCTTATTCGTAGTTTGTGGAGCTATTTAGGGGCTTTGAGAGCCCCTTTTCGGTACCATTAATGACTGTGATCTTCTGTTTTTATGGGGTTCAGCCAGCTGTTGAGAAAGGAAAATCGTACAGGTGAAAGAGTACCGTAAAGTCCGCTGCAAACGCCCACCCCAGCGGGTCCATACTATTTTCGTCTTTTTCAGGTCGACATAGTTGTAGAAAACGGTACGGGAGGCAAAAGCCGTACACACTTTTGAAATGGGTAGCTTTTAGTAGTACACCATACATTTTGTGCAAAGTTCATTATCTGCACCGTACTGTAATGCGTACATGAAGTTGTGCGAGTTGAAAGTGAGGATATTCAGCGGGCTTTAAAGTAATCCAAGGCCGTCGACGCGGCATCAAGAGTAGTGAAATTACGATTGAGCGGGCTATTTAAACTCTGACAAGGCCCTTGGCGGGAACGTCGCTGATTGGTCGTTTCCTGGACAACGAGACAGACCTTGTTCTAAAACGGGTTTAACTCATTGTTTAGGATTCGGTTGGAAACCTCCCTAGAGGTGACCCTGCGTACGCGCCTGAAGCCAAACGTGCCTCGTTTCAGTGTGCCCGCGGCCTTAGGCTAGTTCTGTCCGTCAGCTTCAGCTCTCCAAGCATCCTATTCATATGATTAAAACATGTCGCAAGAAAGTCCTGAACAGAATTTCAAGAATCCATAACCGAGATTTAACTACTACAGTAAAACCTGCCAAGGTGACCGCTCTCAAAAGGTGACCACCTGTCTAGAAGACCACCTGTCTAGAAGACCACAACAACCATTTTCCAGTCCAATGACCCTGGATAAAGAGACCACCTGTCTAGAAGACCACAACAACCATTTTCCAGTTCAATGACCCTGGATAAGGAGACCGGCTGTACACAGGGATCAAGTTTTGAAGGTCCCTTGAGCGGTTGCTAGGGGTGAAACGAGTATCTATTTTGACCAATCGATCACTCATTCATAATAATTATTCCATCGGGTATCCGATTATTTCGAGTATTTCATCTAAATTTGTGAGTTCTCCACTGATTCGGAAAACAATTATCCGTGACCATAGAACAAAAGTCGCCAACGGCTTGTACAGAGTGTAAAGTAAAGATTTTCATCAGTCCTTCCGTACCTCATAACTAACTAACTTATTACTTGCTGTGGTGATCGCATCGTCCAAGTCATAAAATACTGACTCAAAGGCATGCATAATGCATGCATACCAGTGGGCGAGCGGTACAACAAAAGCTTTTGAAAATGGAATGCCAATACTACAGTCCATTCATCGGAACTGGCCGCTGGCTTTTGAAAGTCGGATTTGGGCCGAATTGAGGATCAAAAAACCACTTTAACCTCTTTAGCACGACGCTACCTGAGCGCGCCCCACGCGACAACACCTGTAAAAGTCGCATTTTCCCATGAAAGTACTAGCTGCTCAAGGATCGATAACTTTACCTTCCCTTGGACGAATTCCACGATCTTGAGCTTCCTGGAAAGGTCTTGAGACGAGTGACAAACTGGTGTCAAACCTAGCTCGGAGCGAAACCAAAACCCCGTGCTACAGTCTGGCAAACTTCATCCACGCGCTCGACAGACTTGAGCACGGCCAAGACTAACCAAGCTCAAATATTCAGCTGCCATTTCGGTCTCCTTGCTCGTATCGAGCTCAAATTTTTTGTGAGGACTCACGGGATCCACTACCATCATTTGAATCTTGTTTCCATGGCAGCAGGTAGCGCACAAGTGATCCATGATGGAAAATACGCGTTCTGCAGACTGCGCAAATAAATCGAGTTGAAATTTGCCGTGTCGAGTCGCATATCTCAACAACCGGTGGTCGCATCGCTTCGGCGATTGTTTCTATCGCCAGCTGAGAGTTTTCTCTTGCAGATACATGTTTCGATTGTGAGAATCGACCAAGTATTGAGTGAGTTACGATAGTTTGAACAAGTCACTATGGACTCAACACGGACCCCACGACTATGAGATGCGCGTTCTGCAGACTGCGCAAATAAATCGAGTTGAAATTTGCCGTGTCGAGTCGCATATCTCAACAACCGGTGGTCGCATCGCTTCGGCGATTGTTTCTATCGCCAGCTGAGAGTTTTCTCTTGCAGATACATGTTTCGATTGTGAGAATCGACCAAGTATTGAGTGAGTTACGATAGTTTGAACAAGTCACTATGGACTCAACACGGACCCCACGACTATGAGATGCGCGTTCTGCAGACTGCGCAAATAAATCGAGTTGAAATTTGCCGTGTCGAGTCGCATATCTCAACAACCGGTGGTCGCATCGCTTCGGCGATTGTTTCTATCGCCAGCTGAGAGTTTTCTCTTGCAGATACATGTTTCGATTGTGAGAATCGACCAAGTATTGAGTGAGTTACGATAGTTTGAACAAGTCACTATGGACTCAACACGGACCCCACGACTATGAGATGCAGGTTCACTGTACAGTGTACAGCGCGCGTCGTACTAGTACGACGGCCGTGGGGCATGCAACTCATGTGCGTCGTACTAGTACGACGCTCGCGCTAAAGGGGTTAAATCTCAAAAATCTGGGTTTTGGATCTGCTTCTCCATACATTTTGCCATGGCATACCTGTCCTAATTTTGTAAAACCTGGCTGAATTTCTATTTCCCTGTTCTTGGACTTTTCTGGCCTCAAATGTGGCAAGGAGTAATTGCATGGGTCACACAATGCAGGACGTACTGTTGTTTTCACGATATCTACAACTATGCGAGAGAGACACCAAAAAGCTAGGGTGCCAGTTTCTAATGAATGACTATAGAATTCAAGTCGGCAGGAAAACCGCGAGCTCCCATGTAGGGAGCAACACATTCTTCCCCTACTATCGCCGAAGTCGCACCAGCCTCTTTTTCACATAGAAAAAACAACAAAAAAACGGTCGAGTACAAAATTTTGAATGCTCCTTCGTTTAAAATTTTCGAACGATTACTCGAATATTCTAACTAATCGTTTCACCCCTAGCGGTTGCCTTATAGGCCATTCACATGACGTGCAAAGTCACTTTTATTGTATCGTTTCCAAGGATATTTACTCGCATACGATAAACTTGGACACAAGCGTGCAACTGATTTTTGAACTCGGCCGGGGCCCTTGTGGCCACGATTCTACTTTGCACGCCAACAAAAGTGTCGGTTGAAAGTACGTACTGCAAATGCCGTGCGTGCACAAACAAAAATCCAAAATTTTAGATTTCCCGGCATTTTCAGGAGGTCACTATGGATACATTGACGGTTGCAAAGTTTGCCCAGCACCCTGTGAACTGGATAACGGTTTGCTAGTGTTATCTTGGTTACATGCGTGCGAATGTTTGCACGTCGTGCGAATGGCCGCATTAGACAGGCTTCACTGAGCGTGTACACGGGAAAGTCAACGTGGAGACGAAGAGTTGAATGAGTCGAACCGAACACACTGCCACATATCTCCACAAACGCAAAGATCATCTGCTGAGATGACATCACTGACCTGAGGAGTTGATCGAAACGCTATGTAAATCGACGCACTGTCAAGGTGAGCGTCTACTATAGTATTGCCCACAACTAGATAGCCAGTGGAGACACATACGTACACACACGTGTACATCAACACAAAAAACACACGCGCGCGTGCGCACACGTACACCCAGCAAACCGTGCGATTGCGCAAGCACACAAATACAAACACACGCACACATGCACGCACACACACGTACACACACAAGCAAGGTCAACAATCTGGAGAGGTGCAGAAGACAGCTATTTCTCACATTGATATTAACTAACAAGCCAGTCCAAATGATTCGCACTCAAGACGAAAACAAGCTGAACATCAAAGCGAACTAAGAATGCTAGCTGTGACTAGAAGATGAATATAGACGAAGGACTACGACACAGGACGGCCACGGCTCACTTCAAGAACGCGAAACAACCACCCATTTTGGGAGGCTCAAGTTTATCGTAGATATTGTGTTTAGCTTGTTTTCGTCCTGAGTGCGCTCACCTTCCCCTTTCTCAAGCTATTTCACAACTTAGAACCTTCCGAGCTGGAAGGCTGTTGGTAGCACGTTCAAGGCGTAATGGAGCTAACCACCAGGTCGTTGAATGTCAGTACAATAGTAGTCATTATTGTGCTAACTTACGCACGTTACAACTCATCAATATCAAGCTTATAATTGCCAGTGTTCGGACAACTACGGGTAACTTATAAACCTTTGGTCCTCAGTTTCTGCTGAATTTTAATCCTCGGCTCTCCATCCGAGTTCATTTTCAAATGTTTCTTTTCTATAGCTTTAAAATAGGAACGAGAGAGCTTGAAAGCTCAGAGCCCTTGCTATGCTTAGCTTTTATCTAGGTCATCATGCGTGTGATTCGAACTGATAGGAACGTCTTTGCAGTAAAAAATCTGGACCCGGTTATCGTATTGCAAAGACGTTCCTATCAGTTCGAATAACGCGCATGATGACCTAGACAAAAACAAAAGCGTAGCAAGAGCTCTGAGCTTTCAAGCTCTCTCATCGTCTCCACGCTGTTTGTTTTTGGTAAAGTTATTTCTTCGTCAATTACCAAGTTCTCCGCGCGCGTGTTCCAAATGAAATAGCACCGTTCCCTGATACGAGGATTCAGCTTGCACTGTTGGTTAGGACTTTAAAAAAATCATTTTCTCCTCTCGACTTGCTCAATATTCTCTACGCTGGTCAAGTTTCCCAACATACATGTAATTGCGTAGGCGGTGGTAAGGCGAATGTGCGAACGCACCTGTAGTCTTCTACCTGTCTAATCATTACGAATTACTGTATAACCTATACAAAAGAGAAAGACCAAGGAACTACAAGTTGCGCTATACTGTCCACTAACACCACCAGTTAATAAACAATCAGCTCATGCGATCACATTGCACTGCATAACACGTTACTTTTCGGTGCAATTTAAATGGCGGTAATTTCGGTGGAGAAACCTGGCACCTAAATTTAGATTACACAAAAATAGGCACTGGAGTATGCACGGTATGTGCAGGGAACGCTGGTCACCTAATTCTACATTACACCTGAATGCCTGATACCGAAATTTTACTGCACCTAAAATAACAAGCTATACAATACTGTACAGGCAGAAAATTTCGTCGGTCAATAATTTCGTCCAACTCCAAAGAAAGGGAGTTCGTCCGGTTGAAAATTTCGTCCATGGATCATAAGAGTGTATTGAAAAGCTGGACAAATCGACATTAGTCTGGCATTTAATTTAGACCCACAGCTCCTTGGACGAAAAAGACGAATATTTCTGCGTGTACAGTAACCACAATATGAACGGCAATACAACTGTGAGCGACACCATTCGGCAATAGGGCTTGAAAGTGCTACGTCACAGCATAGCAAGAATTTCAAAAATTCAAAAACTGGATCCACTTGGATCCGGTTTTTGTATGGATCCAAGCACATTTCAAGCGGTCTTACCCACAGCATGGTGATGTAGCCAGTGAAACTGACTGATTTGGCTACTGAGGGCGGGGTTACAACTGGTGGCGAAATAAAAGTCACACCTGCATGCGACATGAGTGGGTTGCTATGCACCCACATACTTAGGCAATAGCAAAGTCACACCTTAGTGGATCCAAAAATAGAAATCTGATGTCAACTTACTACTCCCTGGCCGTTTTGACGTCATCACTTTCAAGCCCTATACAACTGTGAGTGACACCATTCTCTGACTATAGCCTTTGATAGGCGAAGCAGCTATCAGAAGGGAAATATTTTACCCGTGACCCCTTCGTTGTTTGAAATTATTGGTGTGCGAGTAACGGCTACCCAGGGTAGCAGTGGTCGGCTCTGAGAGCGCACGGCGGAGGAGAGTTTGTTACATTATGAATTTTTAAACCAGTTTATGAATAGGCGACAAATATCACGCTGAACTCATACGCGGTAAGGGGGAGGCGGCATGCTTTTGAACACGCCCTGTGTCACTATCAGTGGTGCAGGCCAAACCAAATCACAAATGTACAGAGCTGCTCAACGAAATCCAGCACCTGCCGGGCGTTGCGCGGCCCTAGACCTGCGAACGCTGGGCTGCGAAATGGTGCGAGGCGCAAACTGGAGAGACTAGACTGGATTTCATTGAGCAGCGCCGTACATTCTACGCGTGTGTGGTGCGTACTCGGCTAGTCGGTTGCCAGTACTTACGCCCAAGGTTGGACGACGAATCCCAGGACGGAAGAGACACCTGAGCCCAGCCGCCGTACATTTTCGGGTACTCCGAGGGAACGGAAGACCCAACGTCGGTGAGGCAGACGTGACCGATGAACCCGACGTCAACCCGTCGCGAACCGACCTGCACATTCGGAAGGTTGTAAACAAAATACGCGCCGCCATTTACGGTGAAGCTGTTAACAAAGTCGCCGAATCGCGGCACGCTAGCGTCTGGATCGATGATTAAGCTAGCGATGATGTTAAGCGTCGCCGCGGATCTCGTGAAGCGGATGGCCGTGCGCGCCTGGTTTCCATTGACTGCCGCGGTGGGAAATCCCGCATAGAAGGTGTTGTCCGCGATGCGCGGAAGCACGCTTGACCGGCTCAGGGTGGCATAGTCGAGTGACGGCACGAATATACCGCTCATGTTAATGCTCGCTGTGGCTACAGTAGGATTGGAGAGCTGTCGTACCTCGCAGCGCGACTGGCTTCCGCGATAGCACACGAAAAACTGCTGGTCATCGACTGCGCTGATGGCTAAGACCTGCTCGCCCATAAGAACAGTCGCTACTCTACCCAGAGACGTGTTGAAGATCTCTAGTCCCCTGCTTGTAGCGGCGTAGACCCGCGTATTGTGAACCACTGTGCGTCCGCTCAGGCCAGTCAGGGAGGCCATGTTTTGGCCACCTGTGCCCACTGTTGTCAACATTAGCATCAACACGACCGTTGCCACGCACAGGGAGTGCGAAAGCCCAGCGTGCAACATGCTTGCTCCAGTGTCCGCAACAGCAATTCCTTCCGAAAAAGAGCCAGGCCACTAGCCTACTGCCTAGTGACCGACGGGGCTGATGCCGTGGATATGTACGGCCGCCAACAAATGCTACTGTGCTTGCAAGCTAAGGGGAAAGCGATACCTAGCCAAGGTACTCTCCTCCTTCCACTCCGACGCTAACTTCCGTAGGGAGCAGGGCGGCAACTCGCGTCCGCCACACACTGTGCTGCGCAATGCAATGGCCCTGAGCGCAACTTACTGCAGCATGCCGGCCAAGAAAATATTTACTCCGGAGAAAACGCTCGAGCTGACTCGAGCACCTACGCACACACACTTGCCACCTTACTAGCTGTCGTCGAACTCAGCGTGTCGCTGGTATTTCCTCCTTCCGTGGCGAAGATCCTGCGCGGGCAGAATACCCCAGACTACCTGCCGGACCAGTGCTTGTGTCAGTAAGGCAACACTTTCTTGCAAACGGCCGCGGTGACAAACTAAACCCTGTTCCACTTCTACTGCTTCTAGCTACATTCGGTCAGTTTTGAGTCAGGAAAGTGGGGGGAACTACACACACTAGTACGTAGTACTGGTCTACAATACAGACATGGTACATGTAGTACTGCATCATATCAGTACAGTACATGTAGAGCCGATGGCGATGGCGATGTAGTTGTAGAGCCGATCGTATCATGACCTTGATCATTGATATTGTTGATGGCTAGCTGTGTGCTGGCGGACCAGTGGCGATGCTGCATAGCTGAGCGGGGTGACCTGGCTCAGTGACTGCACAGTCTGTCAGCCAGTGCAGTGCTGACAGTCTTGCAACTGTACCCACACTCCACAGGCCACATTGTCATTCATGTACAACGAGTTACGTACGGTACTACCGTACTGGCAATACCGTATATTCTCTATTATAACTAATATCAAGAGTACAAGTCATGTACATGTCATAACCCCCCAGAGCCTACTAGTACTAGAGTACTAGTACTAGTAGTAGTACCCATGGCCTCGTCGGGACATCACCAACCTCGTCGGCAGCGAGCACCTTCTCACAACAGTCGTCATGGTGATGACTATGACTGTTACAGCTGACGAGCTGAGAGAAGGACGCCATGGGCAGAAGTTGGAAAAAGACAAGAAAAAAGAAAAAGAACAAAAGAACAAAAGAACAAAAGAAAAAAGAAATATAAATTACAAATAATTTAATTACAGAGGAAGACAAGAAAATAACATCACAAATCCTTCCAGACGTGATCCCTGCAGCGGCAGCAACGTGAACAATACAACGGCGGCAACACGACGACTTCTACAACACAAAAAACGAAAATTATAAAAATCCTACCAACCCGTAGAGTAACGAGGGTCCGAACCTGGGTTTTCCCAATACGGTTCAAATGGTCGCAAGACCGGGACTCTGCCAACCGGTTTATGGTTGTAGTCAGGAGCACTACGCGTCCTCGCCTTGTAACATGCTGTCAAAATCGAAAAACATGTTAAAGGGGAAGTGCATCGATTTTTCGAGTAGGGTCCAGAAGAAAGACAATTTGATGTCGGTTCGAATGGCATATCTCTCGCTTCCATACGATAAGCCAAACTTGCCAAATCGCCAATTGTATGCTCACGTTGCCATAGCGACCAGCGCAGTGATGACGTACGAAAGGCTTAGCTCCACCACAGAGAAGGTCGATCACTGCAGAATTTGGTCATTTTCAATTGGTTTATTGTATTCACGAAGTGAAAGAAGGGCTGTGTTCAATGCTGTTAGTGCAGTGAACTGTTTGTTAGTAGTCCTCTCGGTTGTGTACTGGGACGTGACACCGACAGGAGAAAGCTGGAGTGCGGAGACACCAGCAGACAAGCGAAAATAGTGACGAACAAAATGCTGAAATCTTGGTTGGGACAAATCAGACGTTCAGCATTTCCCCCAACCAAGGACCATGCCGTTTGCTCTTTCCACTTCCTGAAGATGAATGTGATGCTTCCTGGCGACTCTGCTATCTCTCGTAACATCTTCTGAAGCCAGGTGAGACGACGGGTGGTGGAGATTGACGAATGAAATAAAGTCGTAGGTTTGAAAGTTTGCAGAAAATGTCTCAGGAGAGATGGCGAATTCCGAGCATCTTGTCCTGGAGGAAACCATTTCCTAGGCGCAGTCAGCCTAGGGAAATGCATGAGAAGGGCGATAAATAGTTCACGACACTAACAGCATTGAACACAGCACTTCTTTCACATCGTAAATACAATAAGACAATTGAAAAATGACCAATTTCTGCAGTGATCGACCTTCTCTGTGGAGGAGCTAAGCCTTTCATACGTCATCACTGCTCTGGTCCCTATGGCAACGTGAGCATACAATTGGCGATTTGGCAAGTTTGGCTTATCGTATGGAAGCGAGAGATATGCCATTCGAACCGATATCAAAATAGAGAGGTTTTGCATTCCGAATTTCGGAATTATTTTCGACTGTGCTTTTCCGAAAAAAGCGCGTTCCGAAAAACGGTATTTTCAGTGTTTTGCATTCCGAAAATCTGATTCGACTTCGTTTCCAAGGGTTGGTTGCCATGCAAAACAAAATGGAGAGCGTCGAAGGGGTTGAGCAGGATGGGTAGGACTAAAGGGACAAGCCCAACTATTTTTGCAGTTTTCTGTCATAAAAAAATAAACGTCACAGGCTGCTCTTCGCAGGTGTCCGCGTCGGAGCGGTCCGGGCGAGCGACCGCATCTCAGTGGGACACTTGTCCGTGGCCGTTGTACTGGAAATCTGTGGCAGAACCTTGCCATGCCAGAGGCTACACACACCCGGGTACCTATACCGGGATAGACAAATCCTTGGTGTTGCTTCTTTCATTTTTATTTGTTCTTGCTGAGAAAGAAACGTTGCTGCTTGGAAAGCTTTCTGTTCACTCCAGCGACTTTCCTCTAGTAACGTTGCTCACTGATAATGATCATAGCTCGTGATACCAATGGTGAAGAGAAGCTGGGTTTCTTGCCATTTGCAACTTCCTGGCTCTGAAAATATAGCTTGAACAAATAAGAGCTCCAAGTATTTTAGTTTTAGATTTCGATGTGCCAGACCTATCGTTACGAGATGCAGAGATGAGGAGCAAGGGAGGCGTTGGACTAATGCCAATAATGGTTTTATGGCCCAGACAACGCCAGCGATTTTCACTTGTCAAGTTGGAGCAGGCAGATGACAGATTATTTGAGCATTTATAGCGGAGTGGGTGGTTTGCTAAAGAGAATCGTCTCAGTACCTCATGGTTACTAGTATCTGACAAATGCCTCTTATTGCTAGTCTGCATTATTGAGCATAGCAGAATTGATCATGTCACAAGTAGTGTCAAGACTTGATGGCCTACGATTATACTCAGATCATGTTGTAACTTCACGGGAATATCCGTCCTGCCACTTTACGCTCTCCCAAAATTGCCTGCAGGAGTCACGTGCCTGTGCAAGGGACAATGCGTTTGCATTGCTTACGGATGCAAGCGGATGGAGTGTAGACCAGATGAGAAAAAGTGATCCGGATATTCAACTAGCTTGGACCGCCATTATAAATTTGCCTGATGCCTGGACTATCTGAACATTGCTCCAAACCAATCCACAGAAGCAATACCCACACAGGAAGCCAAATGATAAACCCATTCATCAGCTATCGAACCTTTCATCAAAACATAATGCAGTGCATGCCTACTACTACTCAAACGAGATCAACGGATGCCACATGCCACACAGATACAACGTGGAGGCTCAGTATTTTCAAGACCCCGTGCAGTCTAGACAACTAGAACAACGAGGTTTGCACCTAATGTCCCTCGATTTGCTTGCCGTATTTAGTTCCTTGCAATTGAAGCAAGCCGTATCCGAGAACCGGTCACTGAGTTTGCAGTGTCGTCGTCGCGTGTATGTTGCCGTGGTGCTCTCTACCCTCCTGTACGGCGCCTCAACCTGGACAACGAAGGCTCCGGACCTACGACACCTCAACCTTTTCCACCATCAATGTGTCAGATCTATCGTTGGAGTGTCGCGACGGCAGCAATGGGAGACCCACGCAACGTCCTCAGCCCTTGCAAAGGCCCTTGGAGTGCCTGAGGACATTGGTCACATCATACGGGAATGACGTTTGCGCTGGCTTGGACACGTGGCACGGAGGGAAGATCACCGGTTGCCGAAGTGTGTTCTCTTCGGTGAACTGCCTGCCCCGCGCCCCGCGCGTGATCCACGCAAGAGGTGGAGGGACGTTGTTATGCATGACTTTGAGCCGGTTGAGCCACCGGTACCAACATGTGGATGGTACGATGCAGCCCAGAACCATCCGGAGTGGCGTGCCATTGCCCATCGACCACACAAGGCACCCTCTGCTGCTGGCTACGGTTGCGCCTGCGGCCGCATGTTCCGTCGAAGCGGCGACCTGAAACGCCATCAGTCATTCTGTCGTGGACTGGAGAAATAACAATGCGGTATCATTGCTACGCAATGGGCAAGGTCAAGGTGTGTTTATGGTGGTACAGGTAATGCTATGTACGCCTCTTTGGTCGCTCACACATTATCCATTGCCGGCATTGGTTACACGTTATTATCAATTTGTTATGACCTTCGCTGGTCTGCACACCCACCCACTCTACTCTCTACTCTACTCTCTGAAGTTGAGACTTTCGTTTGCCATTTCATCCGGTAGTTTGACTCTCTGAGAATATCCCTGCTACATGTACATGTATAATATAATTTATACTTTACAATTATCCTTGTACGTGTCTATCTTCTTGACACCATGACTTTCTTTGAAGGTCTTGTAGCTATGAAATGTTATTTGCTGCAGGCCATGTGTGTGGTGTGGTGTGTGTGTGTGTGTGTGCATCCGTGAATGTCCCACGCTTGGCCCGTGGGTAAATATACAGTCATGTATATGTTATATGCCACACCAATTTCGCTATCTGTATAATATTATGCAGCACAGTGGCAGGCATAGAGAGAGAGAGCGAGAGGGAGAGAGACGTTTTAATGTCTCTGATGTGAATTCTTCACTACTACATAATCTACATTGTACTTGTATGATCGAGCGTATGAGTGTGTGTGTGTGTGTACTTGTATGATCGAGCGTACAAGTGTGTGTGTGTGGGTGTGCATTTGCAGATTTGGTGCTTCTCTTGCGACGGGCGTATACATGGTGTGTGTGGGTGCATCCGTGAATGCCCCATGTGTGCGTAAATATACAGTCATGTACGTGTTCTGTGCCATTCAATTTCACTAACTGTATATGCAGCACAGTGGCAGGCATAGAGAGAGAGAGAGAGAGAGAGAGAGAGAGAAAGAGAGATACGTTTTAATAATGTGTCTGAGGTGAATTCTTCACTACTACATGTACTTGTATGATCGAGCGTACGGATGTGTGTGTGTGTGTGTGCGTGTGAATGTCCCACGCATAGCCACGTGCGCGGTGCCACACAATTTCATTATGTGTAGAACAGCGGCTGGTAGAGAGATAGAGACAGACAGACAGACACAGAAAGACAGAAACGGAGGGATGCTGCGCATAAACAGGGAGACAGCTGGAGAGTTACACAGACAAACACAGACAGGCAGACAGAAAGGCCGTGACGAAGATTCAGAGAAACACAGAGAGAGAGAGAGAGGGGGGGGGGGGGAGAGAGAAGAAGAGAAGAGAGAGAGAGACACGCGCACACGCACACACACACACAGAAACAGAGAGAGAAAACTGAGAAAGAAAGAGACAGAGAACAGTGACCGAGTGAGGGACAAAGAGAGACACACAGAGAAAGACTGAAGAAGAGAAGCAGACAGAAAAACAGAGACAGACAGATGGAGACAGAGAAACAGAAAGGAAGACAGACAGACAGACAGATGGACAGACAGACAGATAGGGACAGGCACACGGACAGAACGAGATAGGCAGACAGCTAGAGAATGACAAAGACAGGCATACAGAAAAACCAAGACACAGACAGAGACACATAGACACAGAGAGAGAGAGAGAGGCAGACAGATAGATATATTAATAGAATAGAGAGACAGACAGACAGAGAAACATGTGGAGACACACAGATACGAGAGATTTCGTTCGTTGGATTTCTAATACTGAAGTAGTATAATACAAGTAGGTAGCAGCATAATGCACACAGATCTAGAGTGCTGAGAGTTGTCGAATGCGGCGAAAGCAGAGTGTAGTAGACACTACTGTACAGGAGTGAAGCAAAGCTGATTTGTTGTAATGCTGCCTGACTGCTTGCCTGTGTGCAATAATGAGGTGAACTCATAAAACAGTGAGCCGAAAAAAATATGATTAAAAAGCCGATTCACAAACCAGGTAAAGACAGGAAGAGAAGGAAAGATATGTGCGCATATACCCTGCACCCGTGCACGCACACACACACACAAACACAGAAGGGAGTTGATAGGTGGAGAATTGCGAAAACAGGGGACCCAGTGTGCCCTCAAGGAGATAAAGAGATAGAGATAGATAGAGAGATATTTTTGGCACAGTATATTCGGCCCTGGTTTAAATATGGCTTTGGAATTTATTTTTCATTGCAATCAGGTTCGGCCTCATTTCTCTGTGCTGTGCTAATGAGTCCACAAAGGACGAAACAGTTCTGTCCCCAGATTGGATAGATAGATAGATATAGATGAAGATAGAGAGAGAGAGAGAGAGAGAGAGAGAGAGAGAGAGAGAGAGAGAGAGAGAGAGAGAGAGAGAGAGAGAGAGAGAGAGAGAGAGAGGAAAGAGAAAGACATAGGCAGCTGTCTTGGTCATTATCATCCGATGTATTCCGTGTGGCGTAGACCAGGTGTGCATTGAGAATCCTTTCACAAGGCATCGCCATTTAGCTTCCTGTGTGGCGTCACATCGTTTCCGTGGACTGGTTTAGATTCTTGCCCACGTTTCCATGAGTCCAGCCAATTAATAGCAGCCGAAGCTATATGAATAGCCAGATTATGTCTTCTTATCTGCTCTGCACTCCATCCGCTTGCATCAGTAAGCAATGCAAACACGTTGTCCCCTGC